CGGTGCCGGGCGGAGCTCCGTGCCCGCGGGGTCCCGGCGGTGCCGGGCGGAGCTCCGTGCCCGCGGGGTCCCGGCGGTGCCGGGCGGAGCTCCGAGCCCGCGGGGTCCCGGTGCTGCCCGAGCCCCGGCCCGGCCGCCTGGCCCCGGACACGTGGGAGTGCGTGAGAACGGCAAAACGCCGAGGAACCGGCGCCGTTCCACCGGTGACCTTTCTAACTTACATGTACATTTTAAATAAAAAACACGAAGGCCAGCGCGGCTGCTGTGGTGTGGTCTGTGTGTCTGTGTGTCTGTGTGTCTGTGTGTGTCTCTGTGTGTGTGTGTCTCTGTGTGTGTGTCTGTGTGTGTCTGTGTCTGTGTGTGTGTGTGTGTGTGTGTGTGTCTGTGTCTCTGTGTGTGTGTCTGTGTGTGTCTGTGTGTGTGTGTATGTGTCTCTGTGTCTGTGTCTGTGTGTGTGTGTCTGTGTGTGTCTGTGCCGCTCGCTGGGCCGGCGCTCCGGACAGCTCCGCATGGTCACGGGGAAGCCGAACCCGGTGGGGATGGCGCTTCCCGGGCCCCCGGGTGGGGAGCGGGACCGGGGGGACCGTGGGGAGCAGGGCTGTCCCGGGTACCGTGGGGCTGTCCCGGGGCCGTGGGGCTGTCCCGGGTACCGTGGGGCTGTCCCGGGTACCGTGGGGCTGTCCCGGGTACCGAGGGGCTATCCCGGGTACCGAGGGGCTGTCCCGGGTACCGTGGGGCTGTCCCGGGGCCGTGGGGCTGTCCCGGGTACCGTGGGGCTATCCCGGGTACCGAGGGGCTATCCCGGGTACCGTGGGGCTATCCCGGGTACCGTGGGGCTGTCCCGGGTACCGAGGGGCTGTCCCGGGGCCGTGCGGGGCAGCCGCCGCCAGGGGGCGCTGGCCCCGCGCGCCGCCCCGCCATGGCGGCTGCTCCTCGCGGCATCTCGCGCGGCCGTGACGCGCGGTCACGTGACGCGGCGCCGGCCGGGCCGCGCCGTTCGGCCCCGCGCGAGTGACGGGAGCGGAACCGGGCGCGGAACCGGGAGCGGAACCGGGCGCGGAACCGGGCCCCGGAGCGCGACGGCGCCTGCGGGGCGGGGCCGCCAGGGAACGGGCCGGGGGCGGGACAGGTGGCGGGGGAGCTGAGGCTGGGCCGGGCCGGCGCTTCCCCGGGGCCCGCAGCGAGCCGCGGCCTGGTCCGCACGTGGGGCCTGGTCCCGCCGTACGCGCCCGGGCCCGGCGGGTCCGCGCCCCCGGCGGGGTTCGGCCCCGCGGCCTTCGCCCAGCATGCCCCCGCCGGCAGAGCCGCCGCCGGCAGAGCCGCAGTCGGAGCCGGCGGCCGAGCCGGCGCTGGAGCAGTGGCGGCAGTACAACGAGACCGACCGGCAATGGGCGCTGCGCCGCCGCTTCATCCTCCGCCACCTCGCCGCCTACCCCGGCGCCGCCATCGAGCGGCTGCTGGCGCTCTCCGTGCTCTGGACCAACCACGTCTTCATGGGCTGCAGGTGAGGCGCGTTGGTCCCGGGGCTCCCGGCGGTCTCTCGGCTCCCGCTGCCAGCGGGGCTGCCCCGCAGGACGGCGGCGGTCCCGGGGCTCCGCAGGACGGAGCTGCGGGCAGCGCTCGGGCTGGAGGTCAGGCGGGAGAAGGGGCGCAGGATCCCGCCGTGGCCAAATCTCGGCCCCAGATGCGGTTTAGAAAGTACCGCAGAAGAGCTGGCATGAAAGGGGCTGAGACAAGAGCGCTTCTGTCCCTGGCCGGTTCTGTTTGCTCGAGTATGTCGGTGTTTGTAGGTGGAGCGGAGCAAGCCACTGGAAAAGTTTATGTGTGTTTTGCAAGGAGTTCTTGATGTCCCGCCCCCAGGACTCGTTTAGCTTTGAGGTGCTGTGTCATTTAAGTGAGGAGAGCGTTTCGCTCTGAGCACAAAGCAGCCTGTACAGTCCCCTGAAGGTTCAGCTTTTCTGGGGGAAATCAGCGTGGAGAAGGGAAGGGGCAGCCTTTCATCCAGCCGTACTGACCATAGCCAGGTTGTGCGGATCTGCAGAAACGTCACCCACATTCACAGACGCCTGCAATGATATGATTGTTTATAACTGGACGGAAGCAGTTGCTTAACGACACCAACTTCTGCAAACTGCAGTGACAGAGGAGCTTGTGAGCTTTGAGAGCACATAGATGGACTTTGAATAATGTTCCATCCCGCAGCCTTGTGGGAGAATGGGAGAATACTTTGTGTCATCTCTACAGAGCAAAACCAATATCTTTAAATACAGACCTGCCTGTTTCTTTTTTTTTTTTTTTTTTTTTACCCTGGGTCAAGTACTACACTCTTCTGCCCTGCAACCACCAAAATTTAACATAGATTTTAAACAGTTTCAAATTCCAAACCTTGAGCAGTATGTTAAAATTGAGAATATACATATATTCTTCATACACAGTCTGTGTGCTCCATTTTAATGTGTTTGTGTGCTGTCTTAATGGGGACCTTCTCTGTGCCAGGGCTTTTGGGAATGGTGCAATAAGCAGTTACAGGGTGCTGCTAATAGACGTGAACAACTCTGTGGGAAGGTTTCAAGTCCCCAAAACTGATGCAGTTTAAGCCTGTCAGTGCACATACTTTCTGTGATGGACCCCTTCACCTGCAGCTCTCAGGGGAGATGAGATTGGGGCAAGGTGCAGTCTGGAGCCATTATCTGAAGATGTTTTCCCAGAGCTG